ATATATCTATATATATGTATATCTATGATATACATATATGTATATTGATAGCTTTGTATTTATAGGCGAGTGCAGCGTAATCTTATACCAATTTGTATACCCTAACTCGAAAATTGCCAAAGCGTGAACTGTGTATGTTTGTATGTCTGTATGATTTATGTATACATATAGATGTGTATACATAAATATGTAAACATTTATAGTGTATGTATGTAAACACAATTAAATTTTGTTTAAATATACTACTAAAATATACACTAAGTATCGTTTAACCTAAGGAATTTCTAATACTTAAGCAGCTCAAGGTTACAAATGGTTAGCAACACTGAACCCCTCGACTCCCGTACTCACGCACACACAGTCACACACACACACACACACAACCTCGATACACTCTGTGATTCTGTAACTGCTTTTTATCGATGGGTTCAACTTTATGCTTTAATATATACATATATATTTATGTGTATTTGGCGAAATTTTTGTAATTATGATAATAATATATAATATACTATATACTAAGTCATACGCGCGTATATTGTAACTATATTACATGCTCATGAATCCAAATCAAATTTTCAAAGAAGTGATATTTTTGTTAGTTTTTATTAAAAATGAAAAATAATATTTTTAGTGTGATATTTGTATACTGATGCTAGTCTCTATAAAAATTTGCAGGATCCAAGGAATGCGCGTGTTCTTCCAATTACCAACTATCGCTCTAATTCTGACAGCTAGACAGGGAAAGAAAGAGAAAGAGAGCATTGTATTCCTGGGCCCCAAATGTGGAGCTACTCCAGGTAACTTGCTTTGCCAACCCACAACAAACACCAGTTATGTTTCTTCAAGACAGACGAATGCAAATGCCATGGAGTGCCTAGTCAAAGGAGCAACGAGTAACCAGTAGCGAGTAGCGCGATTAACGAGTAGCGAGCAGCGAGGAGCGAGGGTGACGGTCTCACTGTATCTTCCACTCATGCTAACTGTATTAAAGCATGAGATACGAGGTGAATTTCAATTTATCTCATTTTTCTATGTATATAT